TGCATATCTCAGGTTTCTTTGCATTTGGTCTCGCTGCGCTTTGCGTTAAAGCTATTTTGAGATTTGAAAACGAATTGAAAGCCAATAATAACAATTTTCAAAGTTCATTCAATTGCTTTTCTGACTCGGCTAACGCCTGCTGAATCTCCCTGCTAAAGATTTGCATAAAATAATGTCGCGAAGCTCAATAAATCCACCTTCAGTCTTGAAACACGTAAGTGAAATGTTACATTCTGAGAAACTAGGTATTAGTCTGGTGGTAATGGTTATGATTTCTGATATTTACGAGCGTGATTACTAAAAGGGACTTGCGTTACTATAAAGCTGATATTGCATAGCTGAATGAAAAGACGAATCGCTCAAATGGCTTAGGAAATACAACCGATACTTGCTGAGATGGAGTTTCATTAAGTTTTCAAAATTCAAGTAAACTAGTTGTTGAAAATTATGCAAAATTGACTTCGTTATCTGGGAAAATGTGTTTTATTATTCGTTTATTAATAAAATCAACATCTCTGGAATGGCTTTAGATAAACCGACGACTGAAGATCCAAATTACACAGCAGACATGCGACTATAACATCGTATACTTCTTCCAATATTGCCAGCAGAAAGATATAAACTTTGATCAAGAAAACAGGGCAGGATTTAAACTAATCTTATTAATTAAAATTTGTCGAAGAACAGAGCTGAGTCGATATGAAAATTGTTCACATCCGATTAGCGACTAAGAAAAGGTTCACAGTCAAAAATTAGGTATAATTAGAGCCACGCGTTAAATTTGTAATTTTCCTTCAAACTTTCGAATAATTTATTTTTTTAAGTTCAGGTAGTAACTATGTGTTTCTATGCAAAGTTTAGACTTTCATTTAAGCAAGTAATAAATTCGTTCATCTTTTTAATAAGAATTCATATTTTTGCCAGCCAAACCATTAATTCCAAACTTAGTGCTGATTTTGTAACAGTTAATTTGGGAAAATTTCAGATATAATTTATAGCTAATTATAGACTTCGTGTGCCATAAAAGAAATCCTGCCTTACGAACCGTGTATTACTTGGCTCTAGTTCGTGATTCATAACATTCCTTCTAATTACAACACTGATCCCATATGGTTTTCCGCTGATGATGGATGATCGAATTAAAATCAAAATAATAGCAAATACCATTACATGCGCTCACAAATAAGTCAGATAACAACAATAATCTTATAAGTTACACGGCATTATTATAATTTGCAAAGCCATATCTCACACGTGAGTAAAGTACGAGCATTTATTAATTTCGTTACGCAAATGCAAGACAACGGTATTAATTAATCGCTTTGGAATATGCGCTGCGGCGGTGTCTAATATAAATTAGCGCATTTTTATCCGGTATATTATTATGAGCAGAAAATGGACATTAATCATGGTAGATTTGCGACATCGTGGCCATTAACAGGCGCGAATTACCTAGTTTCTAGGAAATTTTCCATTGGACTGTTGTAGGCGGATCGTTGTGAAAATTAAAACCAAATGCTCAATCGTATTATTTATGCTACCTAAATTAATTGGATGGCCGCTTTTGATTCAATGATCAATGAAAAACGTTTCAGGATTCAAACGTTTATTAAATATTTAAATCGACTCATCTTGAACTCTTCATCCTGCCGAAGTTCAATCAGTGAAGGAAGACAAATTAAATTGTCCAATCAGAATTTATCGAGAAATTTTCAAAATTAGGTATACATGATTTTTTCAGCGAAATGTTCTAGGAATTTATTACATATTTCTACTATTCATCCCCATTGTAATGCTTGATCAATCAGCTAATTTATAAAAGTTAATTATTCGGTTTTGATTTCCACAATTTGAAAAAAATGCGAAAACAAGTTGCACAGGCGCAAATGGCACAATTTGACTCAATTTAGCGCTATTAGTTTACAGTTGTAAAAGCGCAATTTCTTGTTCGCTTTTCATAAAAATTTTCCGTAAAAATATATGCTGTATCGTTACAATCTTCTGCTAAAGAGTTCGTTGTGAAGATAGATCAAATTGTTAAAACATTTGAAAGGAAATTGCGTTTTTGACCTGCATACTTCAATTATTTCTCAAAGCGATATTCATTTATTAAAAGGGTTAATGAATTTGTCGACCGCCTTATTCAGTTCTCTATCCAACGATGCCAAAACGAATTCTCTGGCTCGAATGGTTCTTGAGAAACTTCGAAAAAAGCAGCGTCAAGATCAAGTGAATTTTGCAACTCAAAAAAAACAACGCAAATCTAAAACTTCTTGAATTCAAGCATTTCTTGAAAAACCTGCCAACATTTCCTTATCGATGGTTCACTTTCTAAAAAGGCCATTTATTTCTGCCTAGAATGATGTACAAATGAGCCTTCTTGCTCATTTTGCCTCCGAGAAATGAGCAAAAACGAGACGGAAATCATGGAATTTTGGCATAATCTTGCACCGAAGTGTCTGATATTCAAATTTCGCTTTCTGGGTCAAAACTACTCGAATTTCCTCACTCACGTTGTTA